TAGTAATTATAGGGGGATATCTTTGCTATCAACTTCATACAAAGTTTTATCCAATATTTTTCTTTCAAGGTTAAGTCCATATATAAATGAAATTATTGGGGATCATCAGTGTGGGTTTGACGTAACAGATCAACTACAGAGCAGATCTTTTGCATTCGTCAGATATTGGAGAAGAATGGGAGTACGATGAGACAGTGCATCAGCTATTCATAGACTTCAAGAAAGCCTACGATTCAGTTAGGAGAGAAGTATTGTACAATATTCTGATAGAGTTTGGGATACTCATGAAACTAGTTAAGTTGATTAAAATGTGTTTAAACGAAATGCGTAGTGAAGTCCGTGTAGGTAAACATTTGTCTGAAAAATTTCCTATCCAGAATGGTCTAAAACAAGGAGATGCTTTATCGCCACTCCTTTTCAACTTTGCCTTAGAATATGCAATTAGGAAGGTCCAGGGAAACCAGGTGGGACTGAAATTAAACAGGACACATCAGCTGTTGGCCTGTGCTGATGATGTGAATCTACTGGGTGATAATGTAGATACCATAAAGAAAAACACAAACTTTAATTGACATTAGTAAGGAAGTTGGTCTAGAAGTAACCACAGAGAAAACTAAGTATATGTTGCTGTCTCGTCACCAAGATGAAGGCCAAATCAGGATATGTAGATAGCTAACAGATTTTTTGAAAATGTGGCACAGTTCAGATATTTGGGAACAGAGATAACAGATCGAAACCTGATTCAGGAGGAAATCAAGAGGCGATTGAACTCGGGTAATGCTTGCTACCATTTAGTCCAAAACCTTTTGTGTACTCGTCTGCTGTCCAAAAACATAAAAATTAGAATATACAAAACTATAATTTTGCCTGTGGTTCTGTATGGGTGTTAAACTTGGTATCTGACATTAAGGAAGGAACATAGACTGAGGGTGTTTGAGAACAGGGTGTTGAGGGGAATATTTGGACCAAAGAGAGATGAAGTGACAGGAGGTTGGAGAAAACTGCATAATGAGGAGCTTCATAACTTGTACTGTTCTCCAAGTATAATTAGAGCGATCAAGTCAAGGAGGATGAGGTGGGCAGGGCATGTAGTATGAATGGTGGAGAAGAGGAATGCTTATAGGATATTGGTAGGAAAGCCGAAGGAAAGAGACCACTGGGAAGACCAAGTCGTAGGTGGGTGGGCAATATTAAAATGTATCTTAGAGAGACAGGATTGGATAGTACGGATTTGATTGATCTGGCTGGGGATAGGGACCAGTGGAAGGCTCTTGTGAATACGGCAATGAACCTTCGGGTTCCATAAAATGCTGGGAAATTCTTGAGTAGATGTAGATTTGGCTTCTCCTCGAGAAGGGCTCAGCTCCATAAGCAAGTAAGTAAGTACAGAATTTACAGCGTGAACTCATTATACCTTGGGTGAACTTTCAATGTTGACTCAGGTAAAGTAAATGTATGTTAGTGAATTTAGTTCCTAGCGTCATTATTCTTCAGTCAGAGTTTCGTGGTCGATATTTCTATAGAAACAAGGCAGTCTGTTATAGAAGTAACTCCATAGCCTCTTTGTGTTTTAGTTGATGTTTCATTATTGACGTTTCTATAGAAAACAACCATAAATTTTTATATAAAATTAACTTCATAGCTTCACTGCATTTCAGTTGATATTCTATGGCTGATGTTTCCATAGAAACAAATTACGACTATTATAAAATTAATTGTATAGACGAACTAAAATGAAGCTGAACTCTTGTGTTGATGTTTCAATAAAACAGGCTATATCTGGTACACAGTTAACTGCATTGCCTCGTTATATTTCAATTGATCTTTCCATAGAAATACCACGTAGCCTTGTTATTTGAACCCTCATTTCTCAAATGCTCATAGTGTCTCAGAGTAATTTGTATTGTGAAGTAACGGCTGTTAGGATTTAACACGTGTGTGTTCTCTTATGTTTGCTTACTGCATCACTCCATTTCACGAAGTTTTATAGCGAAATGATAAGCACAAACAACGACGTCATTGCGAATGTAATTAAGGTCATTTAACGAATGAAATAGAAGCAATTATTAAGCTGAATAATGAGAGTAAAGGAAACGTTGAAAATATTAGCGTATTTTAATAGCTTACATCCGGTCTAGAAGACCGAGATTAACGGCCGTGGCGATCCGTTGCGCTGACCACGCGACACTCTCTCTCCGCTAAAGTTGGCACTAACTTCGCTGGCAAGCGGTGGTAGCTCAGTCGGTATAGTTCGCTTGAGGACTAAAGCCACGTATTTTGTTGTTTAATAGCTTACATGTTTCTTTCAGATCCTTTCTACTCGTACGTGATAATTGGACACTGTCCACTGTCCACTGTGACGTGTTGCTCATTGAATGAATTGGCTCTGTAACCGTATTTATTTCTCTGTTTTCATACTAAGGTAAAGTGAGGTATATTTCTACGAGATTAATCGACATTACATCCCAGAAGATATTTCTGTGGTGTTGCAGAAAAGAGAAGTAAGACGTTTGTAAGAATAAGATAAACGTATCAGAAAAATTTATTGATTATATCGGGTCAAATAATAACGAGTCTCTGGGCGCAATACTTTGAATTCAGTGACGCAGTGAAATGTAGAATTAAATAGGTTACGTGTACCAGGAAACTTCTTGCTGTTAAAGGTCGGCCGGGGACTAAGGCTGACAACCTCACTGCCATCTGTGGGCCGATTTTCTAGGAAATGTGGGATCCTAGACGTCTCAAAACCCTATTGGTCTTCACGGCCTATTATAGCGATTGCTTTACCTTTTACTATATGAACACCTAACATTTTTGTTCAGTGAATCAGCCTTATTTCCGTGAAGACAATAGAAATATCTTCAAGAGAAACAGAATTCTGATGAAAATCTGTGTCAGTAAAAAAACGCGTGGATTAAAATATGCAACGCCATAATATTGCCTGTAGTTTTGTATGGCTCTGAAACTTCATTCGTGATATTAACGGAGGAACATAGACTGAGGGTGTTTGAGAACGGGGTGTTGAGGAGAATATTTGGACCGAAGAGAGATGAAGTAACAGGAGGTTGGAGAAAACTGCATAATGAGGAGCTTCATAACTTGTACTCCTCACCAAACATAATTAGAATGATCAAGTCAAGGAAGGATGAGGTGGGCAGGGCATGAAAGTCACATGGAAGAGAAGACACATTCATTCAGGATTTCGGTGGGAAATCTGAAAGGGAAGAGATAATTAGGAAGACCTAAACGTAGGTACGAGAATAATACAAATGTGGTAGAGATACAGAATGGGATATTGTGGAGTGGAGTCATCTGAGTCAGGCTGCAGGGAGATGGCGGGCTCTTGTGAAAGCGGTAACGAACCTTCAGCTTTAGTAAAATATTGAGAATTTCTTGTGTGATAAGTTAAGAATTATATTAATATTTTAACTCATCACATTTTAGCTTTATTTGAAATCTTTATATATAAAACTTTAGACAACTTTGAACTTGTTGTACTATGATTTAGTACGTAGTTTCCTCAACGTGTTGTTATTTACCTTCTAAAGATGGTCATTAATTGACCGAAACATATACAGACATTATACATATATATATATATATACACACACACACACACACACATGTGAGTCACACTGGACGGTGTAGTCAAATTATTTTACAGTACACTTGGCATGGTAGCGTAGGTGGTTGAGGCACAATGCAAAAACCGAAAGGTCGTAGAACGAATACCGATGAGGTGGATGTTTTCAGTTCACCTAATCCTTCCAGCCACACTATGGCCCTGGGGCCGACTCAGCCTCTAACAGAAATGAGTACCAGGAATCTTCCTGCGGGTCAAATGGTGGCCGGCGTGTAAGGCTAACATCACCGCCATCTGTGAGTCGACTGTCTATAAAATGTGGGAGCCTTAACATCTCACACCTCTATGGGCCTCCACGGCCTGTTACAAGGATACCTTTACTTTTTTGTCTACTTTTTTACTGTTGGCTTTTGAAGAAGGACATGGCTCCGTGAGTTAGTTAGTTAGTTAGTTAGTTACAGAGGCGTGGGTGAGAAAGGAGCATTCAGTTACGCTTGTGCAGCTCTCACGCTGCACTGGGGTTGATGCAATTGTTAATGTCCTGGGGGTCGCGTGGACCCGGTGACTTCTTGTTCAGCAAATCATGCAAGCGTAGACAGGATGGCTGGACAAATTGTAGCGGTTTATGGAGCATCAAACAACGGCTGTGGCAGCGACCAGCAAAGTGATCGATAAACAGAATCCCGGGGCCTGTCATGACCTTAAACCCGTCGAGCATCGGTGCGCCAGCGTTGCTGATATGTCCAGTAGGAGCGCCGTCTATCCTGAAGACTAATGCTCTTCAGCACATGTTTGCATCATTAAAGGGTAATCAGTAATGACTCACCTTCCCTCAGACAGTGACGCTTTTGTGTCTTTAACCTATTTGTTTTCTTCTCTTGTCGGTCACTTTATGACACCAACAGGAACTGTGTTATGTAAGGTCGTACAGACGGGTGATGTCACTCATAACGGTGACATGATCTAAGTCATGAAATGTCTTCAACTTCTTCCATCACTGGGATCATGGGTTCGAATCCACACTCGAGGCACGAATGCTCACGAATAATTATTTACAATTTTACAAATATTTCTCGTGTTCTATGTCTGTAGTATTTTTATTTTTTTAATGGAAGCTATTCTTCCATTGGCTGATTACTACTGTGGCAACACCAAACGTGCTTGAAGCCTGGATACTTGTCGTGCCACGAAGGGAGCCCACGTTGAAATGTATTGAGAAAGTTATATACTCAGAAAAAAATTTTGATAGTTTGCCTTTGTAGTGGTGTAACCCATAAATGTGTATAATAAATTCTTTCTGAGATATAATTATTTTCTTTTGGATATCTTTCATCCGGATTTTCTGTATAAGTAACTAACTTCTAAACCCTAAGCGATCTCGTTGTTTTGTTGTGGTAAAGCAGGCTGGAGCACTTACCAGCTGGTTCTGGTACGCTGTTACCGCTGTGAAAACCGACTCTGGGAAGATGAACGTTTTGAATTCTTCAGACTCCAGATCTGTGATAGGAGAACTTCCGGATGATTCGTGACGCTTCACGAGGTGGATCCGTGGCTGGTATTTGTGCATCGAATTGAGAACCAGCTGCAACGAAATCAAATAATTCCGGTTCTTATTTCCCGGAAGTAAATTATGGCCCCTAATTTCTCACCATCGTAACGCAGCTTAAAATTTTGTAATAAGTTTTAAATACCACTTAAATAAAGATACTAAATCCACAAATATAATTTAATAGAAATTATAATAACCGAAATCAGTTACTTCTTGAAGAGTAACACCGTGTAGTTTAGAAGAGACCCCGATGTTTCGAAGCAATATATTACCTCCTTCTTCAGAAACTTAAGTGTAATCCAAGAAAGAAACCAGCAGAAACCGAGCTTGCCGTTTGTTTCTGTTAGTTTATTAATTTACTTAATCTTCGACCATGAAGTTGATACATTTCTCCGAAAATATGGGAAGAGCCCTGCACAATGGAAATGATTACGTCGTTATTCAGCGAGTTCCAACAAAAGTATTCTATCTGATACTGTGAGATTTGAAGTCCAAAGGCTCTTCAGGAAAAGGACATTGTAATGAGACGTTACAGAGCGTCTTGTTTCTTATGCTTCTGACTGGTGAGTGTAAACATTTTAAATGTATTTTGAAACGTAAGCATCCTCGAAACTCACATGGCCGTGCTTGTCCATCTCGTTGTTGGTGAGTTTGACTTTCTCGAAGGAGACGACCTGCTTCCTGAGTTGCTCCCCGGTGAAGGGCGAATCGGGGTGCATGTAAAGGCGACAGGGGGCGGGAGGGTCGGCCTTACCGGCCACGAGCCACGATGACCGGTGGTACGCGTACCGATACCGTTTGTTGTCCACCGGAACAATGTCCATCAGCACGGCGTACCTTTGGTCGGGTCTAACACCCGTGAAGGAGACGCGGCACGTGGGGAACATCCGCCTGCGAGAAAGAACACACCGTATTAACATTGGAACATCTGTCTGCAGAGCAAGAACACGCTGTATTAACATTGGAACATCTGTCTGCAGAGCAAGATCACACTGTATTAATAGTGGAACATCTGTCTGTAGAACAAGGACACACCGTATTAACATTGGAACATCTGTCTGCAGAGCAAGAACACACTATCAACATTGGAACATCCGCCTGCAGAGCAAGAACACACTATTAACATTGGAACATCCGCCTGCAGCGCAAGTGCACACTGTATTAACATTGAAACATCTGCCTGTAGAGCAAGAACACACTATCAACATTGGAACATCCGCCTGCAGAGCAAGAACACACTGTATCAACATCGGAAGAGTCACATGCAGAGGAAGAACACACTGTATCAACATCGGAACAGTCACCTGCAGAGGAAGAACACACTGTATCAACATCAGAACAGTAACCTGCAGAGGAAGAACACACTGTATCAACATCGGAACATCCGTCTGCAGAGCAAGAACACACTGTATCAACATCGGAAGAGTCACCTGCAGAGGAAGAACACACTGTATCAACATCGGAACAGTCACCTGCAGAGCAAGAACACACTGTATCGACATCGGAAGAGTCACCTGTAGAGGAAGAACACACTGTATCAACATCGGAACAGTCACCTGCAGAGCAAGAACACACTGTATCGACATCGGAAGAGTCACCTGCAGAGGAAGAACACACTGTATCAACATCGGAACAGCCACCTGCAGAGCAAGAACACACTGTATCGACATCGGAAGAGTCACCTGTAGAGGAAGAACACACTGTATCAACATCGGAACAGTCACCTGCAGAGCAAGAACACACTGTATCGACATCGGAAGAGTCACCTGCAGAGGAAGAACACACTGTATCAACATCGGAACAGCCACCTGCAGAGCAAGAACACACTGTATCGACATCGGAAGAGTCACCTGTAGAGGAAGAACACACTGTATCAACATCGGAACAGTCACCTGCAGAGCAAGAACACACTGTATCGACATCGGAAGAGTCACCTGCAGAGGAAGAACACACTGTATCAACATCGGAACATTCACCTGCAGAGCAAGAACACACTGTATCGACATCGGAAGAGTCACCTGTAGAGGAAGAACACACTGTATCAACATCGGAACAGTCACCTGCAGAGCAAGAACACACTGTATCGACATCGGAAGAGTCACCTGCAGAGGAAGAACACACTGTATCAACATCGGAACAGTCACCTGCAGATCAAGAACACACTGTATCGACATCGGAAGAGTCACCTGCAGAGGAAGAACACACTGTACCAATATCTGAACAGTCACCTGCAGATCAAGAACACACTGTATCGACATCGGAAGATCCGTCTGCAGAGCAAGAACACACTGTATCAACATCGGAACAGTCACCTGCAGAGCAAGAACACACTGTATCGACATCGGAAGAGTCACCTGCAGAGGAAGAACACACTGTATCAACATCGGAACAGTCACCTGCAGATCAAGAACACACTGTATCGACATCGGAAGTCACCTGCAGAGCAAGAACACACTGTATCAACATCGGAACAGTCACCTGCAGATCAAGAACACACTGTATCGACATCGGAAGTCACCTGCAGAGCAAGAACACACTGTATCAACATCGGAACAGTCACCTGCAGATCAAGAACACACTGTATCGACATCGGAAGTCACCTGCAGAGCAAGAACACACTGTATCAACATCGGAACAGTCACCTGCAGATCAAGAACACACTGTATCGACATCGGAAGTCACCTGCAGAGCAAGAACACACTGTATCAACATCGGAACAGTCACCTGCAGATCAAGAACACACTGTATCGACATCGGAAGTCACCTGCAGAGCAAGAACACACTGTATCAACATCGGAACAGTCACCTGCAGATCAAGAACACACTGTATCGACATCGGAAGTCACCTGCAGAGCAAGAACACACTGTATCAACATCGGAACAGTCACCTGCAGATCAAGAACACACTGTATCGACATCGGAAGTCACCTGCAGAGCAAGAACACACTGTATCAACATCGGAAGAGTCACCTGCAGAGCAAGAACACACTGTATCAACATCGGAACAGTCAACTGCAGAAGTAGGGCGCAAAGAGATTTGGAACCTGACCTCTCGCTCTGATAGAAGCAGAATATTCGGTGGCGTTTGAGAACACGGTGATAGGACTACTTATACATCCCACCATACGTTATTAAGATTATAAAATCAAGGAGGAATAGATGGGTGGTGTATGTAGCACGTCCAATAGAGAAGATAAATACGTACACAGAGATATGGTGGGACAATCAGAATAAATGAGACCAGTCGGAAGGCCCAGGCAGATGTACAATGCTTATGTTACTTTGACTCAGGATGGGAACAAGAGGTGGGCCCTTCTGATTTCGGTTGAATAGTATGCTGGAAATTTATTGATTATCAGCTTCTGAAGAATTCTGCTCCGTGGATTTAGTTAGGTAATTTATTATTTAGTGAATTAATCAGCTTGTTATTTGATAAGGCAGGTAGATTGGTTTTAAATGTGAGTCCAATAGAATGGAAATTTTAGATTTTATGTGATCTCTGTTATCTGTCATCTATACAAAATCAGATGATGTTGGTGGTAATTAATTACGGCTTTTGCGAATCACGGTGCAGGTTGACCTGCGTTGAATGTAGGCTGTAGTGTTGTGATACAAAACAGACTGATCACAAAACTTTACACGAAAGTTTGACCAAATTGTTGGAAACAATTTTTGGAATGCCGTCAGGGAACTTCGAAACAACGGTAGGATATGCCTTGACCACATCACACACACACACACACACACGCACCAAGTGTGTTTGTCGTAAAAATTGTTTATCTTTGAGAAACTTTCTTGAAGTAAACAAAGCTTAATTGTTTGCTTGAGATGAGAGACAGACATTTGTAATGACGTAGAGATATTTACAAATTCAGCATTCCTAAGGCAACTCTACTGCTAACCGTCTACACGTCTACAAACAATCCTTCACGGTTTGGCATAGTGATACCTCACTTAGGATCCTTTTCTAGAAGTGTTCGGTTTGAATTTCAGCCGGGACATCGACTGTCTTGCCAGAGGTTTACGTGGCTTTTAGCATAATTTCCAGACGAATTCTATGATAGTATTTCCATCTTCCATATTTTTTCCTGTTCATCTATCGTGCTACAATTAGGCACTATATTGCTATATAGCTAGTTATAACTATGACATCATCGTCGAATAACCCCTCCTCCGCCCCCGTAAACGTTGTCTTTGTGATGAGAATTTCTGCGTTATGGGTCTGTTCGACTTTATGGGGAGAGCGTCCATATCTTTCGCCTGATGCGCGCGCATGATATACCTCTCTACGTGGATCCGCGTGACTCGAACGTCATTAAGAGGCTAATAACATGCCGCTTTTGTGCTTCGGCAGTGCAGCTCACTACAACACACACACAAAAAAAGAAAAAAACAAGACAATATATTACTTGTATTAAGGAAAAAGAAACAATATTCAGGAAATGTTTAGGATGTCTAGAGACATGTACAATATGTAGACAACATTTCCTACAACATGACATGTTACGAAGATGTTGGAAAGACATCCTGTAGTAGTGTACTGATATTTGGAACATATTACAGCAACATCTCGTCATGATCTGCTTGAAACAACTGTTAAGTCAGTTTAATTAATGTTACACGGTATGTCGGGGGGATACGTAGTAGCGGCTTCTGCCCTTCTTATAATATCTCTGCACGAACCACATAGAAGACACCTCGTTTCTATATTTTATAATCCATTCTTGCATTAGTAAAACACTACTGCCTAGCAATGGGAACGTGTTTACTGAGTCGTTGCCCAGAAAATGCCCTAGTATACCCGCCAATCTCACGATCATTGCATAGCAACGGCTACATATGTACATACTGAAAATGAGCGCTTTGGTGCCGCCCTGGACTCCTATGGTTCTGCTTCAGCCCTGAACACACGCCTCAGTCCAGAGTCGAACACAGAAGTGCGTTCGTGCACCGTTTATTCTAGGGCTCTGTAATTCGTAAAGCGTAATGGTGGAGTGACTGAAGAATGAGGACCTGCCAAGGATTTGGACGAAGCCTGCAGGTACTGAGGAGAAACACGAGAAATATCTGAGGCAGAATACACATTGCCCAGGTTGAAATTCTAACCGAGCAGCTCCATAAAGCCTCTGTAGAGTGTTGCCGTTACAGTAACGGGCTCTGTGACACACGTAGCACCGAGATATTTAGGACCATGACGTGATTCTGCATGTTTCTCTGTGATCCTCTCCTCACGAATGTCTTATCTGACGGCATATGATTGGCGGGTCCAACAGGCTTACGCTACTTATATGCACCAATTGAACATTGAACCTGACTGCATGTAATTGGCGGATCCAACAGGCTTACGCAACTTATATGCGCCAATTGAACAATGAAACTGACGGCATATGATTGGCGGATCCAACAGGCTTACGCTACTTATATGCACCAATTGAACATTGAACCTGACTGAATATGATTGGCGGATCCAACAGGCTTACGCTATTTATACGCACCAATTGAACATTGAACCTGATTGCATGTGATTGGCGGGCCCAACAGGCTTACGCTACTTATATACACCAATTGACCATTGAACCTGACCATTCGAGTCACCGCTTATATTAATGATCTTCTCCAAAACTAGGATCCCATGTTGAAACATTTCTAAGGAGAGCAGCTTCTAGTCCCGTTTTTCTGGTTCCCTGTATCGACATGCGCCTTACTGTGGTCTAATGTCCAGTCTCAGGGAACCTAAGGATGTTCTCAAAAAACGACAATAGTTGACTTGTTAATGTCTGGAAGCAAGTGTTGGGATTGTAGGCCTGTCTTAATTTTTGAAATACAATGGTTATTGTACTTACCACTTGCGTTAATATTCAGTAATTTTCTCGTGGTGTACGTATGTGTTT